CACAAACCAGAACCTGCCTGCCCAGCAGCCATGGGAGCAAGTAAGCCCCCATCCCTACCGCTCTGGGCAAAGAGGGGAACCTATTAAAAAAACCCCAACTAAGGAGAATCTGGATGACTGCCTGTGGGCAAAGAGGGGAACCTATTAAGAAACCCCCAACTAAGGAGAATCTGGATGACTGCGGCCCCAAATTTAAGGACTTGGATTGGGGGTGGCTTGGAGTTCCTGGGTCAGGAACACAGGGGAAAAGGAAGCCAGCCTTCTCTGCCCCCCTCTTCAACAACTTTGCCCAGGCTCCAAGGAGTCAGCCACACTGCTGTTTCCACCTTAGTTTTTATGTGGTTCTTGCTCCTAGTAGCCCCATGTAACTGAACTGTCATCTTATTGGGCTCTTACATCAACAAAACAGCCCAGCTATTTCTGATGCTGGAGTGCTTACCAAAGGATGGTCAGTTAAAAGGGTACAAAGCGCAACATGGGGAGGTAAAGGCAGAATTCTGCCTTTATCTGAAATATATTTGTTTCAAACTTCTTTCTTTCTTAGCACAATGCCTGTTGCTCGACTGATATCTCATGATGAGACTTTCCCTTACTGTCTGCATGTAGTATCCACTCTTTACATGAAATTGCTAAAGAATACATGTCATGCAAATCTTTGCTGTTTCTATACTCTAAACCAGTGTTTCTCAACCAGTGGTACAAGTACCCTTAGGGGTACTTGACGGAAGTCTGAGGGGTACATCAACACAACTGAAATTTGGAGAACTGAATTTGTGTTGTGTTTTACAGCACTTTATTATTTTTATTTTTGCCCGGCTACGATTAAGTTGTTTAAATGAATGTGTTGCAATGGTAGAAAAAATTGTGTCTAAAAACTGTAGGTAGTGGGGGTACTTATAAACTGTGGGGGGGAGGGGTTGAAAAAGGGGTGCTTTATTTTAAAAAAAAAAGTTGAGAAACACCGCTCTAAACAAAGCTAGTGGCCATGCGGCAGTACTGTCCTGCCAGTAAACCTGAGTTGGATTGTCTCTGGCTATTTTGAGTGCAGTTTTGTCTCCAGACATTTTACTTTGTAGGCAATTGATGCTGGAATAGTCTTTTCAGAGTCTGCCCTGGAAGGCATGACTCTGTATACAATATTGGAGTGTAGTGAATCTGAAAAGTGTGTGCCACCATCCTAACGAGTCTAAACTTTTCACTGCAGGTAAAATCTGTGGGGATGTGTTACCAGCCCCTCTGCTGATTGACTCTAATCAAGCAATTGTTAATCTCGTTACTGATGGAAGCAGCACTGGCAGTGGCTTTGAATTCACCTTCACAGCTATACCTAAGGAATCAGAAGCAGGTGACTTCAGACATACAGTCTGTCCACATGTCTCTGGCAGCTGATCCCCTTTAAGCCAGGAAAGCAATCCCCAGTGCATGTGGTGGTGGCTTTTTGCTTTTTAAACTTAACCCAATGCTCTAGGTTCTGGCTGTGGGAGTGTTGCAGTACTGATGGAAGAGGGAAAGATTGATACTGCTAATTACCCTGGCGTGTATCCCAGTAACATGCAGTGCCATTGGTTCATTGAAGCTCCTGCAGAGAACGTCATAAAGGTAATGAAGGAAGATGCTGCTTTTAAACCTCTGCCCTTGTCTGTGGAGCAAAGCAATTTAAAATCCTGCTAGAAATTATCTCCAATGCACAAGCCTGTAAGGTTTTTCACATATGACTTGCAAGAAGCTCAGTTTTAGCCAATTTAGATGGGGGGTTGGGGTGTAGCTCTGTATGAACTAGCCTTCTGAGCTGCTGCTGTTGCTGTAGATGCTTGAAGCTGGTTGGTACTAGCCCTTCCAATTAATAGAACTGCATCTTGGGAAAGCCAATGCAAGGTTTCAGCAGAGTTGAGGGAGAACCTGACAACCTGCCCTATATGCCCTGTCTTCCCCTTCTTCCAAGAGTGTTAAACATGCGGGAACAGTACTGTGCTAAGCAAGCAGTAGCTAGAATCCACGTATGTGATGACTGTGCCTACTGTGGGTGCCAAAGTGATACTTTGCTAATTGTGGCTTGGTGCCTGCCTTTCCTCCAGCTGTCATTGCAATTGCTTCAACTGAAGTGAGGTTACCTGTTAAACTAACCACACCTCTGCATACTTCTCCTCTCTCCCTCCCTCCCCCTGCCTCTCTGATCATGGAAAGAAACACTGGCCAGAAACAGACAAACTTAATTCCATTGCATAACGAATCAGCCCCACTACAAGAGGTGCTCATAATAAACTTGGTGATAGACTTCAAGTCCCTGCATCATTTCACTTTATTCAGGGTTACCCTAGGAATAGGGTTAAGGCTTTCTGGAGTGACAGCTAAGCTTGGAAATATCTAAGACTCAGAGTTAAATGCAGAGTTAACACTTTGCTTACAAAGGTGGTGGTAAGAAGTTATTGACTGCCTTTTTTTCCCCTCCCCCTGGTTATCTCTTTCCAGCTGGAGTTTGAAGACTTTGCTGTTGAATTAAGCGAGGGCTGTATCTATGATGCAGTTGTCATTTACAGTGACACTGAAGAGGAGCACCAGCTAGGTAGCCATGACTTAGTTCAATTTCCCCCTTGGAATCCATTACAGAAATGAACACTTACATAGTTTGCTGGCAACAGAATACAAGCTATGTGAATGACACATGTGGTAGAATTAAACCACTTTAGTCAGAAAATGCAGCACTACTCTTTCTACAGCAGCCTTAACTCTGCCTTGTTGTGCATCTGAGTACAGCAGAGGATTCCAATGGTGGACTGCAGAGAGCTGGCTGATGATGTTGGGCTTAACCCTGCCAGGTGCTGAGCACTGTGCTGCTGATCCAGCAGAGCACTGAAGTGCAGGGGCTCCAGTGCTCTGTGGGATGGAGACAGAGAGCTTGGCACCTTGCAGTGGTGCTGGTTCTCCACTTTATTTCCAGTTGCTGTTGTCTCATTAAAAGAAAGTAATCATTAAAGCTGGAAAGAGTTCTGTCAATTTCCATATTATCCTGGACTCTGCAGGTATGTCAATCAAAACACTTCATGAAATCTAACCAATATTGCTGGACTTTGGGGAAAAAACCCACCTTTGTTTAGAATTTTTGTTTTCTATGGTATGATTCTTAAAATCTCACTTCATGAAATCTAACCAATATTTCTGGAATTTGGGGAAAAAAACCACCTTTGTTTAGAATTTTTGTTTTCTATGGTATGATTCTTAAAATCTCTAACACAAAGTGATACTCATCTAGCCTTTTAGGGTGAAATGTGAGGAGATAACATTATTGGACCAGTTTCTGTTGATGAAAGAGAAGCTTTTAAATTGCACAGTTCAAGTTCAGCTTTCGCCAATAGAAACTGGCTGGATAGAATCTTTTATCTCACCCGTCTTGGTCCCAGGATAGTGGAGAAACTGTGTGGCTACAGCAATACTGTGAACAACATTTCACTCAAGTTTTCAGCTCCAGATAGCCCTTTGAGAATTTTGGGGCTTTGTTCAAAGTAGAAATTAAACCAGACTTCAAAATCTCAGTCCTTGGTGACGTGGAATTTCTTTCCTTCCTTTAACTTTACAAGTTAAAATACAGTTCAGAGTCCAGTTTCTGTGTTGAAGGGGTGAGAAACTCTGTACTCAAAGTGAGAAACCCTTATTACATAATTTCAGGACAACTTTTGCACAGACATGTATGACTTGGGGAGGAATGAGACACACAATTATGAACCTAGCTTTGCCACTTGGATTTGGGCAAGCCACTTCTCTTCTGTTAGCCATCAAGTAGCAGATGGGCAGTTGTAAATCACATGCCTTGAAATGTGATATATATAAAGCTTTTAAATAAATATTGGAACAGAAAACAGAAGTTAGTTACCACAAATTTTGGATTCTTGAAAACATGTTCTTTATCTTGATTGATAAAGTCAGATTCAAATTTGTATGGGCACTGACTTGTGTCTTTTTTTTGTTGTTTGTTTGTTTGTTTGTTTTTAAACCCCCAGAAAGCGATCCTGGCATCTCAAAGAGCTTTCAATTGGGTTTTCCTAAGGAAAATCCAACATTTCCTATGCAAAAAAAAGTGTTATTCTCTTCAGAATCCACATGTTCTGTTGGAAATTTTCCACTAGACTGGTATTTCTAGAGCAGCCAGGAACTAGGAAGGCTGGGTGCCTTTTAAATAAGCACAGAGAAGGGACGCTGCTGGTTTTGCTCGAGGTCCTCACAATGCTGGTGTGCGTGAATGCAGGTTTGAGACATTGGGTGCCCATAAATAAGCACAGAGAAGGGACACTGCTGGTTTTGCTCAAGGTCCTCACAATGCTGGTGTGCGTGCATGCAGGTTTGAGACATTGGGTGCCCATCACATATAGATGGCAAATTCAGCTTTTGTTAGAGGCTGTTAGTTGCATAAGTGCCTCTCACCAACTTGGGTTTTTTTAGTTCCCATAGTGGGAAAATTAGCAGGTTGTTTTCTTAGTATATAATAGCTTAATTTAGGCTGCTACTTCTTTCTCCTTGGGTACTTTTCTATTGTACTAGGCCAATGTTGGGGTGGGAGGAATCTGGGGAGAGGAACTTGAAATTTTTTCCTACATAATGACTTTTTGAGACAAAGGTATAAGTCCCTCTTCGAGTTTGTCTCCTGTGGCCATAGTTCAGCAAAGCTGAGAATGAGTTTAAAGTGATGTTCTGAATTTTAAATGCTTGGGGCTTTTCTTTGTGTTACAGCCAAGCTGTGTGGGTTCTCAATCCCCACCCCAATTCTGAGCCCTGACAATGACATGTTGATACATTTTGAAAGCGACGGGGAGAACAACTTCAGAGGATTTAAGGCTAGGTTCACCTTTGTTCCTTCAGGTTGGTAGAAAGTCCTTTTTGTGTTCTGAACGCTGGGTCTGATTTTTTGAAATAGTCCCCTTTCACTTTGTCAGGGTGGAACAGTTTCCACTGGTGCAATTCATTTCCTTAACAATGGAAAGGAATCAGAATTCCCACACTGGGAACCTTGACATTTGTTACCTGAAACTTGTGGATTCTTTGGCATTGTAAATTACTTTTGGAAGTGTTCCATCCGGAGACTGATCTCCTATTACAGTAGTGAGTATGGGAATGAGGTACCTCCCCTGAACATCTGCTGTTGCTTCTCTTTTTATATGCCAGCTACTGACATTGAAAGTTCTGGCCTTCCCTAGTTGGAGATCCTGCTCTAGGACTGAGGTTTCAGGGGTTGGAGGAAGACATGTGGCCATGTTTTGAGTCTAAAATGGGTTCTACTTATTCTGTCTGCAGTGGAAGAAGCTGAATCGGTAGTTACAGAACCAATTGTTCTACAAACATCCACTCCAAAGAATATCCCCATAGGTAAGCTGTTGGTAAACCCATTGTAATAGTTCCTCTGGTCTTATAACCAGAGGATCCTTTGGAAATGGACTTCAGTGTTGCAGGTGCACATGGGATATAGGATTTGTGGATCAGGGCTTGTCAGGTGTACATAGTAAGGAGATAAAAGCATATTTAGAGTAAAGAAATGGAGGGGGAGAGGAAAGGATATGCTCACATACCTTGCAGAGGTTGTGCTCATGCAGTGCCATGTTATCCATTTAGTTCAGGCTTGGGCAAAATACCATCTGCAGGCTGGATCCAGCTCACCAAACCACCAGATCTGGCCTGCAGATGCAGCAGGGAGCCTCAGGCAGACTCCCTGCCTGCCCCCATGTGCTGCTGAGAGAAGTGGCCATTGCAGGGCTCTGTCTGAAAAGCTGTGAGCCTGGGGAAGGGAGGAGAGGCTTCATGCTCTGCTCCCACCACGGCTTGGGCAAAATACCATCTGCAGGCTGGATCCAGCTCACCAAACCACCAGATCTGGCCTGCAGATGCAGCAGGGAGCCTCAGGCAGACTCCCTGCCTGCCCCCATGTGCTGCTGAGAGAAGTGGCCATTGCAGGGCTCTGTCTGAAAAGCTGTGAGCCTGGGGAAGGGAGGAGAGGCTTCATGCTCTGCTCCCACCACCCAGCACAAGCCT